TGATTTTGGAATTTAGATGCACTCTTATTGATTGTGCTTGGCCGTACATGTTCATATCCTTGAAGATGTATCATGGGGGTGTTGCAAGTCTAGAGCGAGGGCTACATGGTGGAGGGGACCTGGGGGAGGGTTTGTAAAACAATGAAAGAATCTTTTCTTTTACTTTTCCATAATTTTTGACACAGTAATTCTTGATCCTTCCATCTTTTGTTGGCTTTAGTTTCTCTTTTTAATCTTAGTCTTTAATCTTTTTAGAGATCTTTTTAATCTTCACCTTTTCAACACCTCAATCTACAATTCTCAGAGTCATTCTTGTTTATGTTCCCTCTCTTCCCCCAACATCTCATCCATCTTTGAATTTCTCAGTTCTGCTTTCAGAAGGGCTCTCATCACTTTCCATTTATCTGGTTCCACTGCCAGTCTCCTTTATCTCTCAGCTTGGCTGATAAAGCAGTTATCTACTAATTGCTCTTCCAATTTTCTGTTCTGTCTGTTCCCCAACATGGTTTCTACAGATCTCCAGAATGACCCACACACTTAGTTAATGACAATTTTATAGCTCTTTTTTGTCCCTTGTATAAGACCTTTTGCCCATGGTGATGACCCAGCCCTTGTCTGTTCTTGTATCTCTTATTCCACTAGTCTCTAGCCCACTACTAAGGGCTGTGTTACATAGAAGTCCCAGCCCTTCTCTCGCCTGGCTTCCTCATGAGAGTAACATCGTCTTTAAACCCCACGTGACAATCCCAGACGCACCGCTGTGATGCCCAGGGAAGACAGACTGACCTGGAAGTCCAACTACTTCCTTAAGATCATTCAACTTCTGGATGATTATCTGAAATGCTTCATCATGGGTGCAAACAATGTGGCTCCAAGCAGATGCAGCAGATCTGCATGTCCCTCTGCGGGAAGGCTGTGGTTCTGATGGTCAAGAACATCATGATGCTCAAGGCCATCTGGGGCCACCTGGACATCAACCCGGCCCTGGAAAAGCTGCTGCCTCACATCCAGGGGAACGTGGGGTTTGTGTTCACCAAAGAGGATTTCACAGAGATCAGGGACATGCTGCTTGGCAACAAGGTGCCAGCTGCTGCCCTTGCTCCGTGTGAGGTTACCATGCTTGCCCAGAACACTGGTCTGGGCCCCAAGAAGACCTTCTTCCAGGCTTTGGGCATCACCACTTAGATCTCCAGAGGCACCATTGAAATCCTGAGTGATGTGCAGCTGATTAAGACTGGAGACAAGGTGGGAGCCAGCGAGGCCACCCTGCTGAACATGCTGAACATCTCTCCCTTCTCCTTCGGCCTGATCATTCAGCAGGTGTTTGACAACGGCAGCATCTACAATCCTGAAGAGCTTGACATCACAGAGGAGACTCTGCATACCCGCTTCCTGGGGAGTGTCTGCAATGTTGCCAAGCGTCTGTCTGCAGATTGGTTACCCAACTGTGGCCTCAATACCACATTCCACCATCAATGGGTATAAGCGGGTCCTGGCTTTGTCTGTGGAGACTGACTACACCTTCCCACTGGCTGAAAAGGTCAAGGCATTCCTGGCTGATCCATCTGCATTTGTGACTGCTGCCCCTATGGCCGCCACCACTACTGCAACTGCTCCTGCTGCTGCGGCCCCAGCCAAGGTGGCAGCAAAGGAAGAGTCAGAGGAGTCGGATGAGGATATGGGATTTGGTCTCTTTGACTAATAACCAAAAAAGCCACTAACTCTGCCAGCTTTGTGTGAAACAAAGAAATAAAGGCTTCATAGCTTCATTCTCAAAAAAAATAGAAGTCCCAAAGAAACAGCTTTTCTGAATCACCAACCAAAATGTAGGTCACCTCTTCAATCAGCTTAAGGTACTTAGTACATAGGCTTCAGAGCACTTGTTGGAAATCTTGTTACATAATTAACCATTTTTTTCTTTTTAATTTTTTTATTAATTTTCATGAAAGTTTACAGTCTTTGGCTTTCCAGTCATTCATTGTTCCACTTTTCTCCCTGCCCCCCCCCAATTCACTCTTCTCTTTGAAAAGTAAAAGAAAAATTATTTCATTGTTATACAGTCCCTCCCCTCAAGTCCACTCTATTGTGCACCCTTGATTCTGGACTTCTGTCATGACAGTAATACCTAATATATCCATTTTAAACAGTTCTCTTCCTCATCTGTTTCAATGCAATATACATTATTTATCCCCTCTTTCTCAATCTCCCCTCAACCCCCAATGTCAGTCCTGTTTTAGAACAATGGCACTGTGCAATATTTGTCTTTTTGTGACTGAGATACTTCATTCAGCATGAGTGACTCTGGAATTAACCACTTTTTGTAGAGAGTCCGAGAAGCATTTTTTTGTCTTTCTCACAAGACCATAAACTATTTGACAGTAGTGCTTAGACTGTATTTTTTAACTTTTGGAAAAATATTTCCGGTTTGTTTGAATAGTTGATTTATATATATATATATACTTCCTATACACAGTATAGTTCTTGATTATTTTTCACATGGCATATAAGGTCACGGGTACTGAACTCAACACTCAATTCTTAACTCTGTAAGTACAATAATATATAGGCTGTACCTTTGTGTTTTATCTATAGGTGGATAAGAAAGGCATGTTTGTATTTTATACAGCATATAGAAAACTGCTTTTGATATCTTTCTCTTTTTTTATTTCTTTTCATCATAAGCTATCAAGCATTAACAAGTAGTGAAATAGAGGATCTTAAGCGGGAAAACTCATCACTACAGGAAAAAGTGGCCAAGGCTGAAAAAAGTGCAGAGGATGTTCAGCATCAGATCTTGACAACTGAGAGCGCAAATCAAGACTATGCAAGGTTTGTGGAAGAACTAAGACAGAACAACACTAAAGCTGAGGACCACTAAGTCTATGTAATGGTGTTGGCAAGCCAGATTGTGAGTGATAGAGGGGTGGAAGTCTCATGGCTTTTGACAATCTTAAATTACAATTTTTATTACAATTTTTAATTTTAAAAATTGTAATTCTTTTTTTAGTTGTTATTTTAATGAAAGTTTACAGAAATGTTGGGTTTTCATTTATTCACTGATGCACATTTCTCTCCCTTACCCCTCTCCAGTTCACTTTGTAAAGCACTTCTTGTTCCAAATTGTTAATTGTCATACACTTACTATCACAGCAACAACAAAATTATCATTCTTGAAAATTTCCTTCTATTATTTTGCTATTTAAGAGATAGGTCTTAGTTACTTGGTGTTGCTATAACAGAAATTCCACAAGTGGGAGCTTTAAAGAATACAGATGTATTTCCTCACTGTTCTGTTCTAGAGGGTGAAAATCCCAAAGAGGGACTCAGCCCTTTGGATTTCTTCCATGTAGGTGGCCCTAGAGTCTGCTCTGGTGGCTTAGTGGTAAGAGTTGTGCTGCAATCCCATAGACAAGTGATTCAAATCTGCCAGCTGCTTCATGGGGAAAATATGAGCAGTCTCTTCCCATGTGATTAGCTATCTTCAAAAACCTGCTGTAGGGTCAGCTATGAGCCTGTTCCAACTCAAAGGTAGTGCGTATAGTATAGCACAGTTCTGACTCTATGATACATAACAACAGCGAACTACTCACATATGACCTAACTCACATAATCAAGAAATTCCTGTTCCCAAGCAGGCAATATATGGGTTTAGAGGCCAGAATTTCTGTAAATACTGATAGATACTATATTTCTGTAATTAATGAGGTGGAGAGTACAGTCAATCCATAACAAAGCAAAAGAAGGAAAAATTTACTAGAATGCCTATAAATGTTTAATGAACTTTTCTTGTTCAAATTCAAGGATGCTTCTGGATCTACAGACCAAATCAGCGCAAAAGGAAGCAGAAATCAAAGAACTGACAGTTTCTTCTCTTAAAAAGATAACTGATTTGCAGAGCCAACTGAAGCAACAAAGTGAAGACTTTAAGAAACAACTGGAAGAAGCCAGGTAAGATTTAGAACTGTGCATGTATTTCAGCTGTATTTTCTAATATTTCTTAATAATTTTAATTACATTTTCTTTTATAGGGAAGCTGAAAAAGACAATACAATGGCAGAATTAACTGAAGAAATAAATAAGTGGCGTCACCTTTATGAAGAATTGTACAATAAAACAAAACCTTTTCAGGTTTGTAAGTTAGACCTAAACTTACTTATGATTGTTTTAAGAGTTCATTTTTCTCCCTGGCATGATTTTTCTGAAAGATCATTTTGTAGTGTATTTACAATTCAGTTTAACTTCATTTTAAAGAAGGCTTATATATTTTATTAAATTTTCATAGTTCTTTTAACATGGGTTTTATAGTTTAAAAATATTTTTTAATTTGGGATTTAAAATTAATAGCTTAGAAGGCTGTCCTAATAGGAATTTTCTTGATACAATTAATGTATATAAATTTATGGTTTTACCGTTTATTAGATTCAAGTCCTGTTTTGATTAAACTATATATTTCTCCCCCCCTGCTGATCTTTTTAAAGAAAATTTGAATAACTGTTAATTTAGACTCTACTGTGGAAGTTTAGTTTTTTTATTTTAATGTGATTGAGCTGATCCAGATTAGACTGATTGTCAACTTTTCTTCTCCCTTCTCCTTCTGTTCTAACAATCTTTTAAAAGAAAACAGTACGTTTAAAAGATTTTCATAGAAAACTTAAGGAGACTTTAAGAATATGTTAGTATTTGTTTTTGTTTGTCCTTTATTGTTATGTCTTAACTTTCTTTAAAGTTCCGGGTCTTAACATTTTTTTATGAAATATATATATATATATATATTGTTTTTCAGCTCCAATTGGATGCATTTGAAGCAGAGAGACAGGCTTTGTTGAATGAGCATGGAGCAGCTCAGGAGCAGCTGAATAAACTAAGCGACTCATATGCTAAGTTACTGGGTCATCAGAATCTAAAGCAAAAAATCAAGCATGTTGTGAAACTGAAAGATGAAAACAGCCAGCTCAAATCGGTTTGTTAAATAATATTTAGCTTTGTTAATCATATTTAATGAGAACACATGTTCTTATCCTAACTAATACTTAAACAAAAGGAAGGACTTTAGTAGCAGAAAAGAATAACAGTTTATATGGGAAAATCATCTTGGGACTTATTTCAGAATCTTGACAGCTAGTCTTTATTCTTAGGTTTTCCAGCTAACCCCATTAATATGTTAAAAATTAATAGTGTAATAAAAAGAATTTATAAATTATACATCCATTTCTATTTGTAAAATAGCATAGTCCTTGATGTATAGACCATAAAGTTTAACAAAATCTCTTTTCTTTCAAGTTAGAACTGACTCCTAGCTATCTCTCCAGAATTTTTCAGAGGCTGTGTATCTGCTGGGAGGTGACCACCCATCTTAGTCCTGCAGAGCAGCTGGTGGATTTGAACTGCCAGCAGTTGGTTGACAACACAACTTCTCACCACTGTTTTTGTTATTAGATGCCACTGTTGAATATAATGCATACATAGTGACCCTATGAACAGTAGATCTGAACCCTGCCCTAACCTGTGCCATCCTTACCACCTCTGACACACTAGATCCCGTTGCTTAAGGCACTGTGTCAATCCATCTCACTCTGCTTCACTGACTTTCCAACTTTCCAAACATTATTTTCCTTTCTAAAAAATAATCACCCCCAGTTACATGGCAACTATAAAGATGAAATGTTCAAAAATATTCCACTGTGTAATTTTTATTTAACCAGAAACAGATTTATTTGTACTTTAAGAGAAGTTAAAAGTCAAATTAAGTGCCATTATGTTGACTCTTATAAGAAAAAGTGGCTCTACCGTTAGGGTTTTCAAAGCTGTAAATCTTTATAGAAGCAGATTGCCACATCTTTCTCCCTGGAACAGCCAGGGGGTTTGAACTGCTAATTGGAGTAGCAGCCAAGTGATTAACTGTACTTAGCAACAAGGCTTCTTTTATAAATGTGCAAGAAAATCTAAATGACCGTCTCTTGTCACAGCTTTTCAAAGTCCTTTTGTAATCCAAATACAAAAACTTGGATATAGTAGTGATTCTTGTGATTTAGTCTGATACAGAAGCAACTTTGGAACTAACACTAGTAACAACAGATCACAAATGGTATCAATAATTGTTTACTGTCAACATTTTTCTTGCCTAGGAAGTGTCAAAACTTCGCTGTCAGCTTGCTAAGAGAAAACAAAGTGAGGCAAAACTTCAGGACGAATTAAATAAAGTTCTCAGTATCAAGCACTTTGATCCTTCAAAGGCTTTCCAGCATGAAAGTAAAGAAAATTTTGCCCTCAAAACCCCATTAAAAGAAGGTAAGAAATGAACAAAATATAGAAGTATCATCTTCCTCTAATTTTACCTTCACAGGCATATAGCAAGTTAAGCATTTTAATGAACTGTGAAAAAAGCTGTTTACACCTTTTGAGATAAAAGAAACTCTTAATGAGATTTCTTTATATATGCATATTTCTTTACCCCCACCCCCATTCTGTTTTCTCCTTTGTTCAGATCCTACCAGTTCTTCAAGGCCAGTTCAAAGCCCATGCTTCTTGTCTCATTTTTGTTTTAATCCTAATGGCACTAACAAGAATGATTCCTTCTATAGAAGTCTTAGTTTTTACATTTTGTGGGAGAAGAATGGGGAGGGTCAGCTATGGGTCGGTTCCGACTCAGCGGTACACAACAACATTTTATATTTTAATTTAGCTATATCATAGGTCCTCAATTTTCTGATTTCTAGTTTGAGGAAAATAGATTTTCTTGTGTGAATCAATATTTTTACAATCAAAATTAGTTGAAATACAGGAGGGAGTAGGAAAGAAGAACATGGATACAGGAAACCCGAGGAAGAGTGCTGGTACATTAAGGAGACTGCAGCCAACTTCATGAAATAAAATGTGTATAAATTGCTGAAGGGAAAACCAATTTTCTCTTTAACCTTTCACCCAAACCTTAAGAAATGAGAGGGTGGAAATGGTTGAAATGCTGAGTAGGGATATAAATAAAATTATGCTACATAACACAAAATACTGTTTTATGTGTGTTAGAGAAGTTAGGAGATCTGATTTAATTTATAAAGATTGTTTTTAAAAAAGATTGTTCTATTTTTTCCATTTAGAATTTTTTTTTTTTAACAATCCTCTTAGGTAATACAAACTGCTGGTGACTTCCTATGGTGTTGTAAGAATCATGCAAGCAAACATCTGGAAATCCTGCTGAAGATTATTTAATTTTAATTATTGTTATTCTCGTTTCTTCTTATTATTATTATTATGTTTGTAATGTGTTTTTCATAATGTTGTCTATAATTGTAATTGCCTAATGTTAGGTATATGGAAGAAGCTCTGGCATTTTTTATCAGTCTTCAGTATTCCTCCTGATAGTTGATTTTCTATTTTAAATACTTCCTTGCTGCTCACGTTTATCAGCTCATTTTAAGCCTTCTAATTAAGTTTACAGCTTATAACTCATCCCACCAAATCAATCTTTCTTTAAAAATCACTATCATACCATTAAGGCCCTATTCTGAAACCTTACATAGTTTCAAAATTCTAATCTCCTGGATTTTTAGCTTAATACCAGAGGCTTCTTTTTTTTTTTAATTTTTAATTTTATTGTTTTTGTGTGAGTGTACCGTCAAATCAGATCTGACTGGTACAGGAGGAGATTGTCCCTCCTTCCCCCGCAGAGCATCTGGTGGATTCGAACCATGCGCCTCTGGGATTGTAGTTGCAGCTCCTTACCACTAGGCCACCA